CAAGGTCCCCAAACACGACCCTCCGCAGGTTTTGAATTCAGAGTTGTCCTTCTCCTAGACCAGTTGCCATCCAAGGCTATAGAAACCAGTCTGTCCTGCTATTTACCCATAGCTGGAGAGAGAAGAAAAGAATTCACACCTTTCCCAAGGGTATTAGCACGTAAGTGAATGTAATGCATTCGATTGGAATTCGAACTCGGCTCTCCGATTCCTCAATCCAAGCCACTCTCCATTACTCCACCTCTCTCTATATATATTAGTAGTAGAATCCCCAACTGACGACAATTCAGTCGGGTTTCGATCCTAGGTAGAGGCACACTGACCAGCTGTGATACAGCGAAACATTCTGTCTGTAGATGACAATGTATGCTCCTGAAAAATTTATTTCTGGGGAGAAAATTGTGAGTTTGTAAACTGTGACTATTACGGCTAATAATGCAAGACCTCTTCGGTAAATTGAATCGGGTTCTCTCAGTCACTGTGGGTTTATCTAAAAAAATAAATGTCTCCAATTCAGCAAAACAGTCTGTCTGTGGATGACAGTTTATATATATATATATATATATATATATATATATATATATATATTGAACTCTGCCGTCATTTTCGACACATGAGGATGCAGACACTTAGTTGTTACAGGCGAACACCCAGACTAACCGCACATATGATTTGATTACTTTGTGTAATAAGATTTTTGTCCTTGGATAACAACTATTATTTCCTCCCTGCCTCTGCCAAGAAAGTGTAGAAAATGGTTAATATTACCTTTAGACTTTGCTTTTATGTTCAGGATAATGATATTTCTAGAATTTACCTATTGGGAAAAATCTCTTTTACAGAAATAAAAAAAAAAAAAAAATATCACGGGAGACCATGAACTATCCCCCTAAATATAATCGTCAATCATGTTTTATTTATACTGTCTTTGGTAGTAACGTTCAATGTCCAGTATACCCTGGTGGAAGGGCTCGCTTTGTTCCTTTGGGTATGCCCCCATGTTCTCCTTAAATTTATCAAGATGAGCGTCAAGGTTATGGACTCTGAGGAACATTCCGCAGCCCATTTTGCCGGAGTTCTTCACCAGGGCGTAAACATAATTTTTGGCCTCGTGATTCCCCTGGAAGCCCCGAACCATTACGACAAACCTGTTCTATGCTGCTTTCTCTGTCCTAGTAAGTATATTGTTGAATTCCTAGCACTCTATACTTTTCTTTATTTGAAGACACCATCTTTGACTTTTGCCGCAGACAGGGAAGTAGTCTTGGAGGCACTTAAAGGCCTTAAATTCCTTATTTAGAACCTGGATAAACGACTTCATTCTCTTCTGAATTGCTATTCTCTTCTGCAAACGGTTCTCTCTCTCTCTCTCTCTCTCTCTCTCTCTCTCTCTCTCTCTCTCTTGGGAGGAGTGTGCACAAGGAGCTCAGGGCAGTGTCGCACTGGGGTGACGGATGCCAGAAATTTGGGATATATGACAAATTGTTTCATAATGAACAATGTCTTATCTATATAACAAACTACTGTTTAGCAAATATCTATGCAAATGATAAAACAATGTCTGGATGCACCGTGACAAAACTTGATGACCAAAGCATCACAGATGATATCCGCACAGAAAGAGCTCCCTATTAGCTTTAACAGTATTATGGCTGTCTTATAACATTCAGTACCTCCCCCTCCCCAAAAATACAAAACAGTAACGTTCCACCACCACATAACAGTTCTTGAACTTTCACCTATCAATATGGATGGGTGTTCTCTCAAGGAGAGTCTTGAACGCTTATTGGGATTCAAGTTCACCCCCATCCCAAAAAAAATTCAGATGGAACTCATATACGATGCCTTGCTAAAGATACTGGGAAAAAACATTCAGCACCTTATTCTACTGCAGAAAGTACTCGATCCGCCCAGAAGTACTGCTCTCATATCTGAGGTTAGAACATCCCATTCATTTCTCACCTGCCAGTCTCGATAGAGTTCAAAAGGTGTCTACCCGGCCAGTGTGGAGGAATGAAATATTTTCCACCCTAAGTTTTCTTTCCAACAAGCGAAGCCTCTCGTTACTCTACCGCTGTTAAATAATAGTTTCAAACAATTATTTTTTTTAGTGGCAGTGTATTTTGGCACAAACCTTTAGGGTCAGATGGTAGACAAAACAGAGAAAGTCGCTTTTGATTGGGTAAAACTAGCGTGGGAATGTTAGAGAGATAGAAAGTAATTTAAGGGAGTTAAGTTTTCACACGTCATACTCAGTAGATGTGGTTAATTCGTGTCTCCGGGAACTTCCACCCCAGTGGGGATCATAAGGCTACCCCAATGGCTAGTTATAAATGTACACGTTGACGTGTTTAATAAGATAGATAATTTTAAAATCCCTTTTGTTGAATCCCTTTCATCTCCGAACTCCAAAAACATTTTCGACAACCGGCCGAGAGAAGACGGGCGAGAGAAGAAACAGCGTTTTTGAATCGATTCCGTCAACCAAGAGACCCCCACAAGAAAGAGCAGGACTAAGAACACCGCTATTTCCATGGCAAACGTTCTGACAAGCTGTATTCCTTAGTTCCACCAGTTCTGACCTTTACAGCTAAGACCCGCCATATTACGTACACTGGGGCGAATCATCCCCACTGCGTTCGGATTCCATTGGTAAGAAGGATGTTTCACACTGTCAGCTTCTTTCCTAAGGACACTTCTTAGTGGAACCGACTACTGAGGCTATGTTTTCCCAGTCACTACACTCTTTACCTCTTAAAGTCGAAAGTTACCCGTTATCTTTCCCAAATAACCTCATACCCTGCACTTTTTACCTCTTGTTAATCGCATACAACAACCTCATTTTTTAGGCACCTCGAGGTGGTGTAATGGTTAACAATAACGACTGAGTAGTCAGTTCGATCCTCACTGGGTGTCCCATACTTTCGGCCCTGTGCCACATCTGAGCTACGCTTGGAAAATATAAGAGGCACCTCGAGATGGTGTAATGGTTAGCAAGCTTGTCTCACTCGATCAATTGCGACTGAGTAGTGAGTTCGAGTGCACTCTACTTTCGGCCTTGTGCCACATCTAAGCTACGCTTTGAAAATTTAATACAACCTCACTCATAACACTACCTTAAGTGACTCATTAGCCGAGAGGAGAAATATCTATAATCTGCTTTCCAAATACATACACGGAAACAAATTCATGGTACGCTACCCACAACCACATCATGTTAAAAAAAGACTATCTAAAATTCCATAAAAAAAGGCTACATAAGTAAACATTAATAAATATTAGACATTAATATTTTTTTTTAATTTCTGTGGACAACGCACAAATTATCAGTATTTATCTAGAGAAAAGATTCTAATTTCTGATTAAAGTTTTGCTGATGATTGGATATCTTTGCCGGAAGTGAATATCTATACCGGAAGTAAATAAGGAGATTTGGAGATGTCAGATAGTCTGAATTGCGTCCATATTGTCGTTTAAATTCAACTAATTAAGATCGCCACTCGATATTATTGCTGCTAGTCTTCATTAATAAACAGAGAGCAACAAATGAAGCCGAACTGTTGGACTGATAACTCCTGTTTCCAAAGAAACAAATCCTGCCGATGACACGCCATCTTTTTTTCTTACTGGCGTCAGCGGTCGACGTTCGAGTGTTGCTAAAACCCTAGAATTCCGCCGTCCCGTCGATCACATTTCAAAATCTGGCCCAGTTCCTTATTTTCTCTACCAACACATTTATCTCCGGCTTAAGTGATCTTCATAAATTCAGATTTGGGTGGGGAGTACTTCAACGAGTGGTGTAATGGTTAGCAAGCTTGTCTCGCTAGATCAATTACGACTGAATAGTGAGTTCGATCTCCACTAGTTGCCCCATACTTTCGGCCTTCTGAAACATCTAAGCTACGCTTAGGAGATCGTTTGGGCACTTCGACGTGATGTAATGGGCAACTATCTTGTCTCGACGGATCAGTTACGACTGATTAACGAACACGATCCTCATTTGGTGCCCCACGCGTCAGGCCTTGTGCCACACCTACGCTACGCTTAGAAAATCATGTGGGGACCTTGACGCGGTGTAATGCTTAACAAGCTTGTCTCTCTAGATCAATTACGACTGAACAGTGAGTTCGATCCTCACTAGGCGCTCCATGCATTCTGCCTTGTGCCACACCTACGCTACGCTTAGAAAATCATGTGGGGATCTCGAAGTGGTCTAATGGTTAACAAGCTTGTCTCTCTAGATCAATTACGACTGAATAGTGAGTTCGATTCTCACAGACTGTCACATACATTTTGTGCCGCATCTATGCTTAGAAAATCGCCATGAATACAGAATTTTATGTAGTCTTTTTTTTTTTAACATGATGTGGTTTTGGGTAGCGTAACAGGAATTTGTTTTCGTGTCTGTATTTGGAAAGCTAATTATAGATATTTTCTCTTCTCGGCTAAGGTTACATTGTTTTGAGTTGCTGCTATAAGCTGGTCCCGTTTTTCTTATTATCCATTTCATTTTTCCTGTGTTTTTGTTTTGTTTGTTTTGTTGTTGCTTTTTTAGTTACCATATATATTTCGAGAATGCTCTGCCGTTATCAAATTTTATGGGGTTAAGGGATATGTAACTAGTGCGTTCCTAGTTCACTAGTTCCTTTGGTGATCATGATTTTTTTTTATTCGTGACAAACTGGCAGAGCAATTCCCGCAGTAGACGATCGACCATCATACGCGGTAATTTTCAGTGAATATTAAAGATTGATTGATCTTCTAGTTTAAGTTATACTTGCCCGGAAATAAACTCGCGCCGACAACGCTCTCTGAGGAAACAAGTTAAGCCACACATCAAAACACTATATAGCACTCTTAATATATATATATATATATATATATATATATATATATATATATATATATATATATATATGCGCATCATTCCCATTCTCTCCCGTTTTGCTTCCATTTTCATTTCTATCTATCTATCGATGCCTCTTCAGGTTTATCTATTTATGTCTCTTCATATCTATCTATCTATCTATCTATCTATCTATCTATCTATCTATCTATCACCTCCTCCTCCTCCACCACCTCCTTCTTCTTCTTCTTCCACTGTTCCTATCTATCTATCTATCTATCTATCTATGTCTCTTTATATCTATCTATCTATCTATGCTCTTTTATATCGATCCATCTATTTATGCATATCTGTCTGGCCATCTATTTATGTCTCTTCATATCTATCTATCTATCTATCTATCTATCTATGTCTCTTTATATCTATCTATCTATCTATCTATCTATCTATCTATCTATGTCTCTTCAAATCTATCTATCTACCTATCTATCTTTGTCTCTTCATATCTATCTATCGATGCCTCTTCATGTATATCTATTTAAGTCTCTTCATATTTTATCTTTCTATCTATGTCTCTTCATATCTATCTATCTATCTATCTATCTCTATTTGTCTCTTCATATCTATCTATCTCATTCTATTCATATCTATCTATCTATCTATCGTCAAAGTACTGAATCATTGAGCTGAATATATATATTCTTTACACAATCCACTATTTACGAAAGAGAGTTATGGTTTCTTAGACCTTCGCTTGTCTATCTTATACGGTAATCTTCAGCGAATATTCAAGGGAGGATTATTTATTTTGTTCACTCGGGCATATTGTTAACGTTCATTTACTTTCTATCACGTTCGGCATAATTCTTTGCGATTTGAGACTGTCAAATAATTGTCACATTTTGTCTTTCTGGTATCAATCCGTTTTTCGCTACTTCAGGAAAACATGACTCAGCCATGTTTTCGTGTGAAAGCAAGAATTAAACTAACTACAAATGCGAGAACGTCTGCAATTATTCCACTGGGCCATCTATCTATCTATCTATCTATCTATCTATCTATCTATCTATCTATGTCTATCTATCTATCTATCTATCATTCATCTATTATTCATATCCCAGTTTATCCATCCCAGTTTGTCCATATATCTATCTATCTCAGTTTATTCATATCCCAGTTTGTATCTATATCTCAGTCTGTTCATATCTATCTATCTATCTCATCCATATCTATCTATCAGTTTATTCATATCCCAGTTTGTTCTCTATTCATCCATCATTCATCTATCTATCTATCTATCTATCTATCTATCTATCTATATATATCTATCTATATCTATCTATCTATCTATCTATCTATCTATCATCCCAGTTTGTTCACATCTATCTTCATATCTATATCTATCTATCTGTTCATATCATCCATATATCATCTATCTATCTATCATCTATTTATCTATCTATCTCAGTTTATTCATCTATCTATCATCTATATCTATCTCAGTTATCATATTTATATTATCTATCTATTCATTTTTATCTATCTATCGATTGTTTCATCTATTTTACTATGATTGAGCATATCTATCTATCTGTCTATCTATCTATCTATCGATTTATCTGCCTTTCAACATATCTTTCTAGCGTCATTTCTGTCTATCTGTGGTCATATCTACCTGTCTATCTATCTTTCTTTGAGCAGATCTATCTATATCTATCCATCTATTGTCATGTTTATCGATCTTTGATCATATGTATTTATCTATGGTCATATCTATCTATGACAATATCTATCTCTTTATCTATTATTTGAGTATATCTATTTATTTATCTATCTATGTCTGGTCATATCCGTCTTTGAGTATATCCATCTATCATGAAATGGACAAAGTCCGACAATTATTTTAAGACATTTTTATGTTTATACATTCTTTTTTTATAGATACAAATATTTAAGTAAATGCTCTGTTTTATAATAAACAGTATTAAATAACATTTACCGGCCTGAATGTCCGAGAAATTTTCATAGAAAATATGCGTGAATTCATATTAATGAATGAGAGAAAATCATGGAGAATTGTGTTTAAAAACAATAAAATCGTCCTTGCTAACTGAACGCTTCTCTGCGGACCAATCGGTTAAGGCACGTCAGGCTATATGACGGTTCCGTATAGAATACAGGTTCGGTTCCCGTTCGAGGACGAATATTTTCTATGAAAATTTCACGGGCATTCAGACCGGTAAATGTTGTCTAATACTGTTTATTATAAACAGAACATTTACTTAAATACTTGTATCTATAAAAAGAATGTTAAACATAAAAATGTCTTAAAATATTTGTCGGACTTTGTCCATTTCATACTATTGTATATTGTTTAATGTAAAATAAAACCGTTTTTTTTATAAGTGAGGTTTTTGGTTGCCTTGTTTTGCAAGGTCGATTTTGCTGTTTTTAAACTACAATTTCCTATGATTTTCTCACGTACATTCATATCTGCTCGATGCGTATCCAAATGTAAACAAATGACGTATATTTTCTATGACAATTTCTCAGACATTCAGGCTGGTAAATGTTGTTTAATACTGTTTATTCTAAACAGAGCATTTACTTAAATATTTGTATCTATAAAAAAGAATGTATAAACATAAAAATGTCTTAAAATATATCTATCTATCTACGATAATGTCTATCTGTCTTTGAGTATATCTTTATTTATCTATATGTGTACAGTTACATCTATCTTTGAGTACATCTATCTATCTATCTATCTATCTATCTATCTATCTATCTATCTATAATCATATCAATCTATCTTGGTCTCTTCACATTTATCGAAGTCTCTTTGAATGCAACTATTTCCAAACAGAGGCACTCGCACAGGTACACGTTTATTGGAGATGTTACCGAAAAGATTAGGGAATACATTTATCAATTTATTCATCTGACAAATTACACAACGTTTTCTGTATGTCATCGGAAATTTCACACTTCACTCGAAATGACTTCACCAGCAAATGGTTTCTGCAATTTAATTGTCATTCTTTGAGACATCTATTCCACGCTAGATAGATAGATAGATAGATAGATAGATAGATCTGAACAGAATGAGATAGATAGATAGATAGATAGATAGATAGATAGATAGATAGATAGATAGATAGATAGATAGAACATAATGAGATAGATAGATAGATAGATAGATAGATAGATCTGAACAGAATGAGATAGATAGATAGATAGATAGATAGATAGATAGAAAAGAAATTGGATAACCTGACCCTAATACACACATTTACACATCACCAGATAGAATCAAAACGAGATAGAAATGCTTATATATATATATATATATATATATATATATATATATATATATATATATATATATATATATAAAGAGTGCTATATATTGTTTTATACTAATAGACCGTGATAAATTAATAACCAGATCTAAGCGAAGCATGATTAGGGAGAGAGATAAAGAGTTTCGTATAGTTGGAAATCCACGTAAGCAAAGAAGCAAGCCATTCTCCGATCCAAGACATTGCAGCGAATTCCACCATTTCAACGGCGAAAGACTCTGCACCCTCATTCCCGGCCATCTTATCATTATTTCCCTTTGTTTCTCGACATTTTTTCCCTGGCGTTTTCTTTTCTGATTACATTCTTGTCTGTTCTTTGATGCGTGACGATGCATGATTCGGTTTCCTGAATCATCTGACGGCAGCCGACATTCGCCTCTTGGCACAGTGCGTCTTGTTGACGTATGTTATCTTGAAGAAGGAAAAAGAAAGAAAGAGCTACGATGAATAAGAAAGAAAGAAAAGAAAGAAAGAAAGAAAGAAAGAAAGAAAGAAAGAGAAATGATGGAATGAAATAAAAGAAAAGAAGGAAAATATCAGTAAAGAAAGAACGAAAGAAAGAAAGAAATGAGAGATTCTAATAAAAGAAAAGAAAGATATCATCAAAGAAAGAAAGAAAGAAAGAAAGAAAGAGTCAAAGAAAGGAAAAAATGAGAGTCAAAAAGAAAAAAAGAAAGAAAGAAAGAAAAGAAAGAAAAAAAAAAAAGAAAAGAAAGAAAGGGGATGGAAATTCTTAAAGAAAAGAAGAAAAACTATAAAAAAGAAAGGGATGGAAATGCAAAAAGAAAAAGAAAGAAAAAAAGAAAGCTAAAAAGTCAAACTTAGGAAAAAAAAAAAGAAAGAAAGAAAGAAAGAAAGAAAGAAAGAAAAAGGAAACGAAGAAAGGGGATGGAAATTCTTAAAGAAAAGAAGAAAAAACTATAGCTAAAAAGAAATGAGAGAATGTAATAAAATAAAAGAAGAAAGATATCAGCAAAAAATGAAAAAAAAGAAAGAATGAAAGATAGGAAGGAAGAAAGAAATGAGATACTGTACTAAAAGGTATCAGTAAAGAAAGAAAGAAAGAAAGAAAGAAAGAAAGAAAGAAAGAAAGAAAGAGAGGAAGAAAGAAATGAAGGTCGGTAATAAAAGAAAAGAAGAAAGATATCTGTAAATAAGAAAGAAAGAAAGAAAGAAAGAAAAACGAGTACTCTCATAAGAAAGAAAGAAAAAGAAAAGAAGAAGAATGTGGTCTCTTATAAGAAAGAAAGAAAGACAGAAAAACAAGGCCTCTCATAAGAAAGAAAGAAAAGAAGAACAAGGCCCCTCTTAAGAAAGAAAGAAAGAAAGAAGGAAAGAAAGAAGAAAGAAAAAACAAGGCCTCTCATAAGAAAAAGAAAGAAAAGAAGAACAAGGCCCTCTTAAGAAAGAAAGAAAAAGAAAGAAAGAAAGAAAGAAGGAAAGAAAGAAAGAAAGAAAGAAAAGCAGGCCTCTTAAGAAAGAAAGAAAGAAAAGAAGAAGAAAGAAAGAAAGAAAGAAAGAAAGAAAAAGGAAAGAAAGAAAGAAAAGAAAACAAGGCCCCTCTTAAGAAAGAAAGAAAGAAAAAAAAGAAAAACAAGGCCCCTCATAAGAAAGAAAGAAAAGAAGAAAAGAAAGAAAGAAAGAAAGAAAGAAAGAAAGAAAGAAAAAAGGAAAGAAAGTAAGAAAGAAAAAAAAGAAAACAAGGCCCCTCTAAGAAAAAGAAAGAAAAGAAAAGAAAGAAAGAAAGAAAGAAAGAAAGAAAAGAAAGAAAGAAAGAAAGAAAGAAAGAAGGAAAGAAAGAAAGAAAAAACAAGGAAAGAAAGAAAGAAATGAACAAGGCCCCTCTTAAGAAAGAAAGAAAGAAAGAAAAACAAGGCCTCTCATAAGAAAGAAAGAAAAGAAAACAAGGCCCCTAAGAAAGAAAGAAGGAAAGAAAGAAAGAAAGAAAGAAAGAAAGAAAGAAAGAAAGAAAGAAAAACTAGGACTCTCATAAGATAGAAATGAAGTACTGTAATATAAGAAAAGAAGAAAGATATCAGTAAGAAAAGAAAGAATAAAATAAAGAATAAATGAAAGAAAGATTTGGGAAGTAAAAAAGAGGAAGAAATTACAAAAGGAGGAACACTCTTGGGTCAACGAAAGAAAGAAAGAAAGAAAGACAAAAAGAAAGAAAGAAAGAAAGAAAGAAAGAAGGAAAGAATGCATGAATGAATGAATGAAAAAGAGGAAGAAGTGAAAATAACGATGAACACCCTTGGGTCGACGAACGAAAAAAATGAAAGAACGGAAAAAAAGAATTTGGAAATAAAAAAGGAAGAATTGCAAAAAAGGATTAACACTCGTGACTCGAAGAAAGAAAGAAAGAAAGAAAGAAAGAAAGAAAGAAAGAAAAAGGAAACGAAAAAACGGGATGGAAATTCTTAAAGAAAAGATGAAAAAAGCATTGCTAAAAAGAAAGGCGGGAATGCAAAAGTGAAGGAAGGTAGAAAGGAATGGAGAGGGAAATTTAGAAAGAAAGAAAGAAAGAAAGAAAGAAAGAAAGAAAGTCAAACTTAGGAAAAAATGCAGGGAGAAAAGAAAGAAAGAAAGAAAGAAAGAAAGAAAGAAAGAAAGAAAGAAAGAAAGAAAAAGGAAACGAAGAAAGGGGATGGAAATTCTTAAAGAAAAGAAGAAAAAACTATAGCTAAAAAGAAAGGCGGGAAGGAAAAAAAGAAAGAAAGAAAGAAAGAAAGAAAGAAAGAAAGAAAAGAAGAAAGGGGATGGAAATTCTTAAAGAAAAGAAGAAAAAACTATAGCTAAAAAGAAAGGCGGGAATGCAAAAATGAAGGAAGGTAGAATGGAATGGAGAGGGAAATTTGGAAAGAAAGAAAGAAAGAAAGAAAGAAAGAAAATCACAATTTCTTTTGAGCAGACATCGTACCTTACACCCACAAACATCCAACTAGGTTCCTCTGAATGTAGACACCTGTAATCGTCTTTGATGGTCGGTGAACAGACAATAAATAATGTTATTCTTGTTCTATGAAACGATCGATCGTTGAAATTCGCTTAAAGAATCTGTGAGTGGGCGGTTCTTCTCAGACATGATTCCTTGGCCGATCCGTTATTGTCTGCCATTTTTGCAACTACAGATTTTGGCAATCTAGCTTACCCCGCATGTAAAACTCCAAAATACAGCAAAGAAATAAAAAAACTTATACTGCACGATTATTATATTGTACTTGTCCAGTTTTCATGCAAGTCGTATCTACTACTTTCAACTGGAGATCACGTGATAGTAAGCCTATCTCCTGAAATGAATTTTTTTTTAAGCTATTCACCCCAAGCAAGGCGGGAGTGTCACTAGCACGCACGGGGTTACAGAGAATGAAAGCAAGAGTAAAGAGGCGTGATAGAGGAAAGGATGAAGAGAAGGACAGGGAAATAGATCAAGGCATCTGGAGATGTCGACTGACATTGCATTTGAATAACTGAAGATTATAACTATCAGGGAGGCAAGTAAGAGGAAAGGAGTTCCACAGGCAGGAGGTGCGAGACATGAAGCTATTGGAGTAGAAGAGACGGTTACATTTAACAGTTTCGACAGTGAAAGGATGGGACCGAAATGCCAACATAGTAACACGCTTAAATTATGCAGTTTGGGAACCAGCGAAAGTAGCTCGTCGGAGCACTTACCGTGAAAGTATTTGTAGAAAAGACAGAGGGAGGCGACGGCACATCGTTGGAGAAAGTGATTGTAGACGAGATGCCAGATCAAGACCTAACACATTGCATATCCGTCAATAGATTTTGTCGAGGACCTTAAGACAAACAGCGGGGATTCCAGACCATATATGGCAGTAGTATTCCATGCAAGGACGAATGGTATTATTATTATTATTATTATTATTTAGACTAATATCTTCCCCATTTCTCTACCTTTTGGTCACAATATTCGACGTTCTTTGAGACTTCAGCTCAAATTAAATTTATTCTTAACTGAAATTGGAGAACAGTAGACAGTGCATGTTATGAGCCGAAAAAAAAGCGGTCTTTTGAATCAGAAAATTTCAATATAACTTGATACCGACCAGAAGGCTTTAATGCTGTGCGTTCTTTGAGGCTAATAACCATTGTTAGATTGACTATTTTCGAAGGAATGACGTCAAAAAAATGCTGTGTGATAGAGGCAACCATTAAGGTGACTCACACACTGCTTCTTCAATCAGGGGGGGAAGCATAAAGAGAATGAGACGCGTAGTTCGATAAGAAAAAGCTTGGGGGATTGATTTGAATAGACTGGGAACAGATCGATATGTACGGATTGAGGTAGGTGGTAATAAATTTCACCCCAAGCAAGGCAAAAGTGCCACTAGTACGTGAGGGTTACAGAGAGTGAGAAGAAGAGTAAAGAAGGGGTTTGAGGAAAGGATATAAAAGAAGGACGAGGATCAAGA